GCCATTCCTTCAGGAAATCTTACCTGAAGGAGTCCTTGTGTATTATAATGCTTTCTTAACCCTTTGAAACAAGAACCCTGATTGAAAAACAGTCTTTAATGACCTAGCTTGAACAGGGCTACTTACAACTATAGAAGAAATAAATCAAATTTTTTTACTCAAGAATGTTAAAGTTATTTAATAGATCTGTTTTACTTTGATTGGTTTAAAAAACTTACCTGTAAATTAAAAGGAAAAAACTTATTAAATTAATTAATGTTTTTCAGTAGTTCATCTAGTGCCATCCAGTCCTTTTAAAGGCTTCTCTCGCTTACAGGATCACACTAGATGAACTACAGAGCCCTTGGTCAGGGTTGTCAAATGCAGCCAGTCTGCCGGCAAAAATGGCCATTTATTTATTATCTCAGCAGGCTGCTCTGCTGAGTGATTTTACTGATTCTTTTAAAAACAGTGAAAAATCAGCCACCATCTTCAAAGCTTTGTGACAACCTGCTTGGTTTAAACTATTTTCTTTGTTGGTGTTTCGGCACACTGCATCCAAACAAAGATTAGTCACATTGGTAATTAAAACAAGCAACTGTAGGCCTGTCTGTGAAGTTGTAAGCTAAAAGGGAATGAAAGACTCTGCTCTGAATTAAAGTACAATTTTTATGGTGTTCAAATGATGAAAACGTAGAAAATACATGTATAGTGCGGACTTTTGATCGTCATTTTCAACTACAGTACTGACAATAATATGGTTGAAGTAGCAGCTTACATATGATAACGACAAAGCAATGTTTTTATAGCCGTCACATTTACAACTTCTCTTTGATTAGTGTCTGTTCAATTGCAGCCATAATCGATTATAATGACAGCAGCTAACTACTGGCTGTTTAAAGTTAAAGAAAAGTAAAACTGGAATAATTTATTGTAACTGAAACATAAGCCTTACAATGTAGTCTATTATTTTATTTTTTTTTATATCAACCACTATCAAAAGGTAAGATAAAAAAGGCAATTTGGAATTGTCAACATTTTTGAATGAGAACTTGAATATTTTGTATTTCAATAATGAAAATGATTATTAAGTCATAATAAATTAAGTAATGATATTCTTACCGGTAAATTTATTTCTTGTATTTCATTGATTAACAGGGAGATCTTTTCGGATGGAAACTTCAGTTTGAAGCGCAGCATTTGGAAATCATGTAAAATGTATATAAACATAGGAAATAACTAATTTTTGAAATGATAAATGA